AAACAAACTTAAAAATATAGTGTAAAATTTAAAACCTAAAGTAAAATATCAAATAAAGTTTTAAAAAAACTCAATGTATATTTTTTACAAGAGTTAAAAGGAAAATATTAAATACAATAAACTTAAAATAAAATAAATCTAAAAGTAAAATTAACTAAAATTTCTCCAAAAACTATTTTTTATAATAACTAAAATTCAGTTAAGTTTTTTTAAAAATAATTTATAATAATAATAGTTAAAATAACATAAAGTTCTAAATTAAATTATGTTACATCACAAACAATGATTGATAATTTAAATAATCATCATGATGAAGTTAAAATGTCGTCAATTTCTCTTTAAAGTTTATAAATCATTACATTAGTTAATTAAAATAGATAAGAAATATAACTAATTTTAGAGAAATTAAATATCATCCTACTTTTTGTTCCTACAAATCCTCCTATCCAATGAAATAGTGACATGTGTAACATTTAATGCTGATTTAATGATATTTTAATATACTAATAAGACACATGTCATCATTTAATTGGGTAGAAATATTTATAGGAACAAAAGGAGGAGGATATTTATTTTCTCCTAATTTTGTACACACATATAGCGTGAGTAGATACCATTAAATGATTCGATTTTAGTAAGTGTTATATTATATATTGTTCAAATTAATTATAATGTTACATTAAATAAATGTCTAAATGTAATAATAAATATTTTTTAGTTAGTATAAATGACAAATATTTTCAACGACATATGATTACTAAAATGTTAACTATATAATTTTATTCCGCGCAACGCACGGATATTCAATAAAACATTTTTCTTTTCACCACATTCATTTGAAACTCCAATGCATTTTTTCTTTCACCACATTCTTTTGAAATTCTCATTACTTTTCAATTTCTTTCTAATAATAACTATAAGTTGGTTAATAATGTTAAATAAATATCAAACCTTAAATGTAATCATATATAAAGTAAATTTCAATATTAAAATAATATCTTTACTTCTACTTATAAAGTTATGTTTTTAAACTTTTAACATATTATACTTAATTTATTAGTTTTAATATATTGTTGGATGTAAACCATTATCATTTTAAAGATACAATTTTGGAACAATTTGTATAAAATAATTATATTATTAATTTAAATATAACATTAAAGGTTATACTTAAATATAAATTTTAGTTTAACTTAAACAACCCAAAAAAAATTGTAAATAGTTAAAAGTGATAAATCGTAGTGTCTTTCTAATAATGTTATAAGTTGGTTAATAAGGTTAAATAAATATCAAACCTAAAGTGTAATTATAAATAAATTAAATTTCAATTTTAAAATAATATATTTACTTCTACTTATAAAGTTATGTCTGTAACTTTTAACATATTATAATTAATTTATTAGATTTAAAATATTGTTGTATGTAAACCATTATCAGTTTAAAGCTACAACTTTTGAATAGTTTGGACAAAATATTTAAATTGTTAGTTTAAATACATTACAGTGTCAACTTAAATATAAATTTTAGTTCCACTTAAAAAACCAAAGAATACTTTGTAAATAGTTAAAAGTGATAAATTGTAGTGATAAATGCAAAAACTAAATTGTAATCTCAATTTAACTAAAATATTTCCTAAAGATAATTTTACAATGGTTAAAAGTTTTTAAATAAGTAGCTTAAAATAACTTACAATAACAATAGTTAAAAATAACTCTATATAAATGATTATATTGTTACCTTTAAAATCAAAAAACAATGTTTGATGTTTTAAATAATTATAATGATAGAAATTAAAACATTAAGCAAATAAATTTTAAAATAATCAATATATTATATCAATTTAGTATACAAACGATTGAGATTATGCAGTTATAATAGATGTATATATTATCATATAATCCAAAATAATCAATATATTATATCAATTTAGTATACAAATTATTATATCAAATTTAACAACAA